GGCGTAGTGCAGCGGTGTCGCGCCGTTGGCGTCTGAGCTTGCGTGGTCCGCTCCACTGTGCAGCAGCATCTTCACTATGTTCGCATAACCTGTGCGTGTCATCAACCAAATTCACGCGTCATAACGCAACAAAAGACGAGTGGGACGCAAAGACGAACAGAATGTAAAGGGGAAGGTAATGGGTGGAATCGAATCCATAATATAATGGTCAGTAAGAATAACGGGTGTGGTGGTGGGGGCTTAGCATTAAGCCTAAAGCGACTAAATTTTCCCAAACGTAAAAAAAAAGAAAAAAGAATATCGGGAAGAAAAACACTAGTGTGTTTTTTGTTTTGCGTTGACCAATGACGTTACTCTATTCCCTACAAGTGCATGCAGTCTCTCAGACGAAAGTACTGCTGCGTCTGGGCTTTCCCAGACGCTGTCCACTATACGCAGCATACGGAAACACGCAGAAACGCCCGAGGGGCCGGGGAAACTCACCGAGTACTGCGGCGTAGTGCAGCGGCGTCGCGCCGTTGGCGTCTGAGCTTGCGTGGTCCGCTCCACTGTGCAGCAGCATCTTCACTATGTTCGCATAACCTGTGCGCGCCATCAACCAAATTCACGCGTCATAACGCAACACAAGACGAGTGGGACGCAAAGACGAACAGAATGCAAAGGGGAAGGTAATGGGTCGAATCAAATCAATAATATGATGGTAAGTAAGAATAACGGGTGTGGTGGTGGAGGCTTAGCATTAAGCGTAAAGCGACTAAATTTTCCCAAACGTAAAAAAAAAGAAAAAAGAATATCGGGAAGAAAAACTCTAGTGTGTTTTTTGTTTTGCATTGACCGATGACGTTACTCTATTCCCTACAAGTGCATGCGGTCTCTCAGACGAAAGTACGGCTGCGTCTGGGCTCTCCCAGGCGCTGTCCACTATACGCAGAATACAGAAACACACAGAAATGCACGAGGAGCCGGGGAAACTCACCGAGAACTGCGGCCCAGTGCAGCGGCGTGCGGAACATGTTGTCAAGAGCTCCCACGTTGCACTTGTCGACCTCCGTCTGCAAAAACAACGATCTGATTACGCGCCACGGCAGCGACCGATGCACCGACGATCACCTCACTGGATCCGTACAACACTGGAAGAACGTACAACTCCGGATCCGTACAACACTGGAAGAACGTACAACACTGGAAGAACGTACAACACTGGAAGAACGTACAACACTGGAAGAACGTACAACTCCGGATCCGTACAACACTGGAAGAACGTACAACACTGGATGGAAGAACGTACAACACTGGAAGAACGTACAACACTGGATGGAAGAACGTACAACACTGGAAGCATGTACAACACTGGATGGAAGAATGTACAACACTGGAAGAATGTACAACACTGGAAGAACGTACAACACTGGAAGAATGCACAACACTGGAAGAACATATACAACACTGGAAGAACATACAGTAAAGTTCGAGACAAAGAAAATAAGTTTCAAGACAAACACATTTACGGACGCCAGCTGCAACTTCATTTGAACGCAACACATGTTCGTAAGTACGCAAGTAAACAAGTTGGCAAAGCAACTAATTATCGAAGCAAATACAAGTTTCCTAAACGGAAGTAGGTGGCAGCACTAGCATCCCCCATCACCCCCATCCTACCCCACCACCAATTTCCGTTTTGCAACTTGCTGTTTGCTTGCGTACTTGTGTTTGCGTACATGCGTGCTTGTGTTTTGTTCATATGGGCCACCAGACATACAGCACTGGTAGAACGTACAACACTAGATCCGTACAACACTGGAAGAACGTACAACTCCGGATCCGTACAACACTGGAAGAACGTACAACTCCGGATCTGTACAACACTGGAAGAACGTACAACTCCAGATCCGTACAACACTGGAAGAACGTACAACTCCAGATCCGTACAACACTGGAAGAACG